ACAACCTCCTTTTATCCACAAAAGAAGAGTATGTAAATAAAAGCTGTTGTTTCATCACTTACTTTTTGTCTTTTTATACCCTGGTGATAGTGTGCATTGCCAACATGCTACTTCTTTAGAACTGCCTGGTACAGCTGCATTTTGTCATATTTCGTCACTCATCGCAAAACATTTATATACACTTGTCAAATTGACTTGCATCTAAATTCTTTTGCATTTACCTACATGAACATTGTATGTTACTGAAACTGATGATGGTATTACTATAATCTGTAATAATATTTATTGTTTTTTGATTTACAATGGTTCAATGTAGGTGTAAATTAATTTAAAGTAAGATTATTAAATGCTGCAATGTTAATCTGGAAGCATCTGATGTTGGTAAAAAAACCTTTGCTTTTTGCAGGAAAATAATGCTATGTCTCTGGAACTTAACTACCGCAATAAGCTTCATGAAGTTTTCAGAGAAGTCAAGAATCGCTTGGTAAGAATTTCTGTTGTGTGTGGTAATAATAGTGTTTCTTTTGTTGTGCAATATATTTCTGTGTTTCAGCATTAGCAATGCCATTTGCTTCCTCTTTGTATTCTTTGACCTGTCTTCTACCTGGCCTGTCATGCTATGCATGTAAATTGAATTTTAAGGATTAATAATGAATGCATATTAACTGCAGGATTATCAAGCAGAGATTGAAGCTTTTCAGCGAAGAACAGAACAGCAGCATATAGTTGACTGGGTGGAAAGAGAAGTTGTAAAGAGTATTTCTCCTCAGCTGGTATGTACCATGTGTAGGGAATAGAAGGCAATAAAGTGTCTCTAACTGACTGCAGATAAGTACTAAATACCTCTTCATAATCAAGTTTAATGTCCATACTGTAAGTTACGGACTAAGTAATGATAATCTGTTCCTTACACTATGGACCAAGAAACCAGGGTCAGTAAGATAATTATTATTTATTTTAACTAGTGGCACAGGAAAGGAAACATTTAAACTTAGCAGGCCCTACAAATTATAGAATTTGGCCTCGAAAATTGATCAATCACAGTGTGCAGAATTGTCACTAAGATTTCAAGTTATTGGGTAGATAAAACAAGTAGGCCAGGAATCAAACAGCTAGGGGTTTCTTTTGGTTCTACTTTCCTTCTATTTTCCATTGAAAGTAGCAAGGGGAACATTCATATTAGCTGGGGGAAATGCCCGGCCCCCAGCTCTTAAGGAGAGGATGGACAGAGGTTGAACTGCGCTTTTACATGTAAGTCTTGTGTTCATGATTTCACTCTGATGGTCTAACTTCCCTCTGTCATCACCCATTTTTGGAAATAAAGAAGGTGAACAGCATCTGAATTATGATACCATAAGACATGAGAAAAGGTAGCAGTAATCTGAAAATAAAGGAGTTGAATGAAAAAATGCTTTGACTTCAGTTACCAACAGTCTGTGCAAAAGTGGAGCTCACCANTTCCTTCTATTTTCCATTGAAAGTAGCCAGGGGAACGTTCATATTAGCTGGGGGAAATGCCCGGCCCCCAGCTCTTAAGGAGAGGATGGACAGAGGTTGAACTGCGCTTTTACATGTAAGTCTTGTGTTCATGATTTCACTCTGATGGTCTAACTTCCCTCTGTCATCACCCATTTTTGGAAATAAAGAAGGTGAACAGCATCTGAATTATGATACCATAAGACATGAGAAAAGGTAGCAGTAATCTGAAAATAAAGGAGTTGAATGAAAAAACGCTTTGACTTCAGTTACCAACAGTCTGTGCAAAAGTGGAGCTCACCATGAGTAAATTATCCCCTATAAATGTTACGGTGTTTCACAAGCAAATGGGGTGCTATTATAAAATGCTTTGTCTAATGACTAGATTAACTGTAATTTAATATCTGATTGCTCTTCAGGAGAAAGAAAGTGTCAACCAGTGTATAAAAGATCTAAAAGCTATGGCTCCAGCATAGTGTTTTGTTTTTTACTATCAAAATTTGGCCAGTGTTATGGCACTGCTTTTGTGAATAAACACTGTATGCCCATTATTGGATTTGTACTTCTGTGTCTCATGTGACAATGGTTGATTGCCAAATAAAGATAACTTTAAAGTTGGTTTTATACCTGCTGTCACAGTTTCTTGACTTGTTCCTGTTACTTTGTCAACAAACATACATGTACATGCACCTCTTATATGTACTATTGAGCAGTTTGATAGGTAATATCTCTGCAGGAGTTTTGAGAAAGCAAAATGTTAAAATCTTTGTACTCAGCAGAATGCAAAGAAAGTCAGTATTACAGTTTGCCATTTGTGTAAGCTGTAGCTAGCCTGTAGTAACCCAAAAGCCATTTCAACTGGTCTGAAAAAAATTTTGATGTGCAGGATTGATTACAGTTCTTCTGCAATTTGAATTCCCTCAGCAAACTTCACTCAAGAACAGGATTCACTAGCCCAATAGCAAAATCCAATAGCCATGGGCTATTGGACACGACTTTCTTTGCATGCTGCTCCTACTTGGGTAGCCTATCGAAAAACAGGATTTGCTTCACGTTGCCTGCTCCTTGACGTAGCCATTATAATGAACAATATCTACTGTGTCACGAAAAATTGTCCTGCCTGACTAACATGACCCTCTAGAAACTTTGCGAGAGTTCATAGTTTGTTTATTTTAGGATTTTTAGTAAGCCTTTCCAAAGCCGTATATTTCCCCATCTTTCTCTAATTAGACTATTTGGGAAAGTTCTAGAATTTTCTTGCAAGGGTATATTATTAATTTTGATGAGTTTAAGTGAAATTTTAACTTGTTTCCACAAGCGAAAAGAGTTTAACGTTGGTCGTGTTTAGTCAAGTGTGATGGAAGCAGTGTTTATTCAAGTTGGCGTGGGCTGCATAACTTTATCGAGTTATGTGCTGTTGTAGAATTTTACTTGGTGGAAACTACATTCATATTTGGAGTAAATCTTCTTGTTGCTGTTCCGACAACCCTGCGATCAGTTTAGTTTGGAAGCTACCCATCCTCTGAAAGATTACCCGCACAACATACTGTTCAGTACAATATACATGATGAGGCTTTACCAAGTATGAGCAAACCAACAATAATCAATTTGTCTAGATTTTTTATTTTTATCAATGTTTCAAATGTTCTATCATTGGTACACTATTTGAAATACCAGTTCATGCACCACAAAATATTTCATAAGAATATTTGACTAAGTATAATATCAAGAATACTAATATTATGTCCTACAACCATTAGAAAACTGGTGAGTAATGTAATCACCATGACACTCTTTTTTACTAATCTGCACAACCTTTGGTGGAAACAACTGAAAATGAACCATATATCTTTTAAGTAATTATGAAAATAAAAAATTTTATACCTATGAGGAGTAGATGCACCTGTTGGACAAAAAATAGTTCTTTGATATTTTTTAAATAATTTTTAGTCCCGAAAAACCCTGCTTTGCTAATTTAGTTGGTCTCTGATGCAGTGGAGATCAGGATCAAGAGATGTTTCTTGATACTTTTAGATGTCTCTTCTCTGTACTTTTAAGTAACATAATTTTGGGTAGTTTCTTGGTGTCACTGATGAGTGCAATCACCAAATGACTTAATACAAAAGATTGAAATGAAACTAAACAATAACAATGGCACAAAACAAAAGTGAACCAACAGTGGTTACTGCAACACTGAGAAACACCCTCATTTTGCTTTACTTTTGTGTAAGATCATTTTGATTGTAGACTGCGAGCAGTCTCTCTTTTTCTTCAGATTTAGTAAGGGGAGTGCACGCGCACGTGAGCATTACCGCAAGAAATGAGGGCGGCAGCCCGAGAAGTCACGCACGTGGTCATTTGCGTGTCTTCGGCGTTTTGCTCGACGGACCAAGAAAAAAGAGAGACTGCTCGTAGTCTATTTTGATTGATTCTGAGTGTGAAAATATTAAAATAATTATTTTACCTTCTATTGAATTGCAAGTTTTAAAACTGTAGTTATGTGAATTTGGGCATGCTTAATATTGTGTTCTCACCATCTTTTAAACTCTAATATTATATTAGTATAGTGTAATGTAACAATAATTTAGAATTGACAAACCAATAGATAAAAATATATTAAAATTTTGACTCATTTTGAACAATCATAAAAGATCAAATACCTTGATTAGCTAATGATCACAACGTGAACTTTCACTGGCAAACAAAAACTGAGGGTCTTCTTTGACCATCAATAACATCTATAATTCTTGACCTAACAGGCAAGTCCACAGTGCCACCATTTTCATCAATCTTAAAGGCCTCTTTTAAAGAGGCCACCTGGGAATCACCTAGGTTACCATTGTGATGAATAGTGACCCATTTGTCACCCACATTCACAAACTGACCAACTCGCACACTAAGTGTAGCACCAATGCCATGATCAATCTTGCTACTGGCATGATGTCGTCCTGCTCCCAGCTCATGAAGCACTTTTGCTATTGCCAAGGCATCTATTTCAGACACTATTCCACTTTTATCACTCACAAGCTCCATTTTTTGGGAAGCAAGGGGTAGAATGTTGAACGGGTCTGAGCCAGGGGTACAAAGCTCTTGTGCCAGATCTGGCTTGACACCCTGTGCTGTCAGCATCTCACAGAATTTGTGAAGAGCTTTACCATTATCCAAGCTGTCAGCGAGGATTTTTTTGCCTTCTTCATGTGAATCCACTTTCTCTAAAGTATAAAGCAGATGACCACCTTGAAAGAAAAAGCAACATATTCAATTTTGAGGTTGCAAAGTTACTGGGAGGGACAATGACTCTTACAACCAGGGATCTTAGAACCAGAACTCTTACAACCAGGACTCTTACCACCGGGACTCTTACAACCAGGGTTTTACAACCAGGGGTCTTAGAAACAGGCTTCTTACAACCAGGACTCTTACAACCAGGGGTCTTACAACCAGGACTCTTACAACCAGGGGTCTTACAACCAGGACTCTTACAACCAGGGGTCTTACAACCAGGGGTCTTAAAACCAGCACTCTTACAACCAGGACTCTTACAACCAGGGGTCTTACAACCAGGACTCTTACAACCAGGGGTCTTACAACCATGGGTCTTACAACCAGGGGTCTTAGAACCAGGACTCTTACAACCAGGACTCTTACAACCAGGGGTCTTACAACCAGGGGTCTTAAAACCAGGACTCTTACAACCAGGGGTCTTAGAACCAAGACTCTTACAACC